TCGACTCGGACTGACCGACGGCTCTGCCGAGGGCACTGCCCAGGGCAGAGCCCGCCGCCGCGCCCGGGGCGGAAGAGGGTCGCGGCGAGATCGTGGGCGGGTGGGTGGGCGGTGGGGGAGGCCGGCGGAGGCGGCGGCGAGGTCGAGATGACTACGTGGTAGTGCCTGATTTGGTTCCCGCGAGCAGGTCGCTTGTGGCACGCACGCACGGCCCTTGGCTGAAGAAGGAAGGGCACCCTTTTCGCCAGCCCGACGAGCACTGCTCCGAGCAGCTCGCCTTTCGTGGGGTGGGCGGACTGCCAGAGACTTTTTGACTGCCGCGGTGGCGGTCGTGCCGGTGGATCGTGGAAGTACCTCTCTGGAAGTCCCCCCGCCGCCGGGGGCAGTGTATTCTATATAGGCTGTAGAGCGGTCCCGACTCCCGAGGTCCCGCGTCTTTAGTGCATAGTGGGGGAAATGGTCCATGATTCATTTTCCAAGCCCCAAAACCCAAGGACGGAAACCCCTCGAGGCGTTTGTGAGAGGCGTTTTCGTTCGGCGTCTACGGCTTTATGATGACGGTGACAACCGCGGGTAGACCGCTCCTCGAGCGTCGAGGCATGGAAGCGATGGATATTTGCACTTCTCGGGGGCCTCAGCCCTCAGGGCCCGGACTGCTTGGCCCTGGCGATGGAGCTGCAGCCGGGCGCGCCGGACGCCGCCGCCGCGGCGGGGGCATCCAACTTTCCAAAGGACTCCAAAAGTCGGAAAAGTTGGACGGATGGCATCATGATGTGGCGTTTGTGTACAGTTTGAGAGGGTCTTTCACATTCACACGTCCGCGGTCATCAGCCAGCGCAAACATGAGAGGGATCGCACGCGCGCCAGCAGCAGCCCGGGGGGAGGGCGCGCTCTCTCTCTGCCTCTGCGCAGAGCTCTGGGCAAGTGCGTGTGAGGCGCGCAGAGCGCGCGTCCGTTGCACGGTCCGACTAGGGCACCAATCGGCGCCGAACGCGCGCGCCAGAGCGGGTTGGGGTCGCTCGGTACATGCCCTGGCGCGTGCCAGGACGGCTGCCGAGGGCCTGCGGCAGGGGGCGAGGGTGAGCTTCAAGGACCAGAAAGGACCTCACCGCCTGGGGGGATCTGCTCTGGGGTGACAGGGGATGGTTGGGTATGTGTGGCTACGTGTACCATTGTGTACCACTGGAGATCTGGAACCCTTCTCGGGCCCTCTCGAGCTCTGGCGCAGCGCTGCGCTGCAGGCTGTGCGAGTGGTGTGACGGCGCGCCTCTCGGTGGTTGGGCGGAGGTCGTGCCGTTGGAGGCCCGGAGCCGCGGCGGCGAGTCGCGCATATTCGTCGCCGGCGCGCGCGCCGGCTGTGAACAAACGTAGTCGAGAGGGGGACGCACGCACGCGCCCCTTGAACGAGGCTCGGCCGTCCCACAGACTTGACGAGGCGAGACTCGCCTCTCGGGTTGACTCGGCCAGACAAAAACCCCGAGAGGCGTGGGAGTACCTCGCCAGCCCATGTCTCTCTGTGTGCAGGTGTGCTCGCCGCAGCCTCCACAAACGTTGGCAACGGATTCCGGTCGTGCACCCATCGACGGCGAGGCGCAAAACTCCGGCCAGCACGCCGCGCACGCACCAATGAAGTTTGAAGCAGTCAATCAGGCCTTCACTGTCGCCGCACCTCGGCCCTCCGTCCTCGACTTTGATGACGTCCCCACCTCCGTGCTACCTTCTTCATCACCCGCACCTGCGGAAATGGAGTCACAGCCGCCACCGCTGCCGCCGACTGCTGCACATGGACGACGGAGCCGCCTCAGCCGCCTCCGCCAATCCTTTGCTTTGCGCAAGTCAAGCACTTCATCCAGCGAATTGAGCCATAAAAGACAGAGCCGCTTCAGCCGCCTCAGGCAATCCCTTCCTGGACTGTCGAGGAGCAAATCAACCAATCCACAGCTTACCATCACCACATCAATGAGCTCAACGGAAGGCGTGCAAGCCAACGACCAACCTCCGACTGCTTCAGTGCCTTCATTCCCATCGTCAAGCCGAACGCAAAGGCTTTCTCACATTATGGCTTACCACGCTGCCAACGCGGTGGTCAGCAGAGGTAGCAGAGTAGCCCTCAGCGAGGAGTTGGTTCGCCACGCTTCGGCGTCGTTTGTGCAGGAGGGCGATGAGTACACGCCGCTGTCCACCAGGCTCTCTCAAGTCAAGTACTCTGAAGCCCGCTTGCATCGGATGTCTCATCGGATGTCGCACGTATCCACGAGGCACTCTGAAGTCCGTTCGCGCGCAGCCTCGCGTGAGTCCGGCGGTGCGGGAATGGCGCCCATCCACGACATGCCGAGTGTGAGGGAGCGGCCGGAGAGCATTGGCGAAGGCATCGCCGAAGGCATTGCCGAAGGCGACGTGTGCATCTCCTCTCGAATGAGCCGTGTGTCGAAGGTACGCGCGACGTCCATTGCGGAAGAGCAAGATGGACAGGACGCGCTGCCGGAGGCTTCGCAGGGCTTTCTGGGCGCGTGGAAGTTCCTCCGCGATGACAACTACAAGGCCTTTCTGTCCGAGTGCGTGGGGCTGCGGTGGCCAATCCTGCAGGTTGCCGAGCGCGTCAAGCCTCAGCCGACGCTCACGATCGAAGACGGCGTGCTGATCAGCAAGACCGCCCTACCGAGTATCAAGTCGTACACTGAGCGCCTTGCCGTCGGCGAGACGACCTTTTATGAGCCGAACCAAACCGCCGAATATACTGTGACCTCCGTTTGGGAGGATGGCGCCGTCTTTGTGTCGACGCGCCAGTGTGACAAGATCAATGCCGGCAAGCCTATCACACAGCGTCGGTGGATTGACGGGACGACAGGCGAGTTGGTCATACAACATGATTGGGGAGGGAAGCGCCCCTTCATCTCATGGCACTCCAAGAACAAGTGAGGAGTTGGTTGAGATTGGCACAGAGAAGTAGAGTGCTGAGCGCTCAGTGAGGAGACACAGGAGGGGCAGGCGTGTTTGTGTTGGCGTTCGGTCGGTCGGAGGTCGGGGGAGAACGGGAGAGGGGCGGAACTTCACAGAGCTGTTCACACACCATGTGCGGCGAGTTGCCGACTTTGGACCGAAGTCGCCAGCCAGCACACCTTCCGCACCATCCACAATGCCGAGCAATCAGCAAGTGCGTGGCGCCGTCGAGGACCTCGTCGAGACGGAGATCCAGCGTTTTGATGTAGATCAATTGCTGCGCAATAAGGAGTGTACGACGCGATCTTGCAAGAGGTAGCTGACGACCTCTTCAATCTCCTGCTCGAGCAGGAACGCCCCCGCAAGGCGCGCGATAGCCGATACACACATTTCCCTCTCGGTTTGCTGTGCTCTCTTAGCCGTGTACACGGACAAGTGCCGCCCTAGCGTCCCCTTGAAGATGGAGTCGACTCGGGCGTCCGGCGTCGCGTCGTGTGCAAGGTTCGCGTTGTAGTGCCGCCGCCGCACGATGCCCTCCAGCGTCTCCAGTGTGAGTGAGTGAGTATTCTTGATACCGAAACACGACGACACACACGATCTGCTGCACGTCGCGCCGATGGCGGCGGTGACCGACCGCCACTTTCGCATGCTCATCCGCTGCGTCAGCCCGCTGCCGACGCTGTGGAGCGAGATGACCTGGGACACCGTCGCCATCGAGACGGTGGACGCCGAGGCGCTCATGGGGTTCTCAGCGGCGGAGCGGCCCGTGGTGCTGCAGCTCGGCGGCAGCCAACCCGAGCGGCTCGCGCGCGCGGCGGCGCTGGCGGTCTCGCGCGGGTATCAGCACATCAACCTCAACTGCGGCTGTCCGGCGGGCACCAACGAGTGGCGAGCGTGCTACGGCGCCAGGCTGATGCTCGACCCGCGGCTCGTGGCGACGTGCTGTGCGGCCATGCACGCGGCGGCGCGCCGCGAGGCCGAGCAGATGGGCGCGGCGCCGCCGACCGTCCGTCAAGTGCCGGCTCGGCGTCGACGGCCGCGATTCGTACGACGGTCTCGTGGAGTTTGTGCGTCTCGTCTCGGGCGAGGGCGGTGTGCGCGTCTTCATCGTGCATGCGCGCGTGGCGCTTCTCACCCTCAACGCGGCCGCCAATCGAACGGTGCCGCCGCTCGACCACGAGCGCGTCCTCCGGCTCGCGGCCGCCTTCCCGCACCTCACCTTCATTATCAATGGCGGCGTCACCAGCCTCGAGCAGGCGGCGGCGCTCATCGCGCGTGGCGTGCGCGGCGCGATGATCGGCCGGCAGTCTGTGACGGAGCCGTACCTGTTTGCGCGCTCGGCGGTGCTGAGTGGCGGCGGAGGCGCGGCGCGCAGCCGGCGGGAGGCGCTCGACCTCTACCTGACCTACGCATCGGAGGCGCAGGCCGCGAACTGGGGCGGCGGCCACCCCGTCACACTCGCCCGCGCGCTGCTTGCACCCATCAGTGGTCTCTTTCACGCCACGGAGAGCGGGTCGAGGTGGCGGCGCGCGGTGCGCGCGGCCATGCAGGAGCGCGGGCGGCTGCGCGACTGCCCGATTGCAGACAGTGGCGGACGCGCTGCTCGACGACCGCCCTGCGGTGGCACTGCGGCACTCGCCGCCCGACGCACCGTCGCGCGCCGAGGACGAAAGTGACGACGCGGGTTGCCACCGTGGCGATGCGAAGGCCGATGCAGAGGGCGCTGCGCCTCCTCCCTCCGCTGTGCTGCGCATCTCGCGACTCCCTGCGGCCTTCTTGCGCGCACGCCCCGGCGCGTCCGGACCGACGCCGCGCGAGGCGCTGGCAGCGGCGGCGGCGCCGTTTGGTTTCTCTGGAAATCTCGCTGTGCTGCACGCCGCGCGCGTGGCGTTGCTCGAGATGGACTCGCCCGCGGCCGCGCAGGCCATGCTTGAGCACCACGCTCAACATGGGCTGCAGCTCAGCACGGGCGGTGCTGTGGTCTTTGAGGTTAGCCGCGAGGGTGTCATGCCCGCTCGTCGTGCCATCGGTGGCGCGGGCGGCGGCGCGGGCGGCGGCGCGGGCGGCGGCGCTGGCAACGGTGCGGGCGATGGCGCGGGAGATGACGCGGGAGACGGCGCGGGCGACGGCGCTGTCGTGATGCCGCTCCCCGCCCACGCGGTGGCATCCGAGTGCGAGCGATGCCTCGAGTCGATCGTGCGCCAGCTCGAGAAGGCTGAGGTGGAGGCGAACGCGCTGCGCAACAGAGAGCGCCACGCCGCCCATCTCGCCGTCATGGACGGCGTCTTCGCTGGCCACCACTTCGACCGCTCCGTGTGCTGGCCGCACTTTCGGCGCGCCGGCGGATGCGATCGGGGCGAGCACTGCGCGCACGCGCACGTGCTGGACGGGCCGCCGCGCTTCTGCTGCGCGCCGCCGCGGCTGAGGACGTTTGAGGAGGTGGACAGCTACCCTGCGGACTACAGGGAGCTATCCGACGAGAAGTGCGCGGTCAACCAGGCGCTCGGAAGCCTCGCAAAGGAGCACTGGGCGGAGCGCGCAGCGACGAGGGCGTCGCCGACCGCATTCGAAGCGGTGGAGGAGGGTGAGAGTGGCGGCGGTCAGGTGATGCGCTGCCTCGTGCTCGACGGCGCGGGAGTGTGCACGACGCGTGCACTAAAGCGAGCATTGGCCGGTACCACCAGTCCTGAGCACCGCCCAGCGGCGCCGCGCGTCGTGGTGCACGTGCCCAACATTGCGACGGGCACGTACGCACGGCTGCTCGGGGCGGGCGAGTGCGTGCCATTCCTGGGCTCGCTTCGAGCCTTTCTCGACTCGCGCACCTGCCCGCGCGGCGAGCACGCGCAGCACTCGCCGCGCGTCGTCGGCGGACGCAGCCAACTCGCCGTTGCCGCCTCCGCCTGCGGCGACGCACCGCGAGCGGAGCCACAGGCAGACGGGGCGAGCCGCCAGGCCCCGTTCTTCGACGTCGTGTTTGCCGACTACTGCTGCTCCCTGTACGCAAACCGCCACGACCTCGAGCTCTCTCCCGTGCATGATCTGATCGCCCTCTTCGCCTCGGGCGCGCTCGCCGACGGCGCCGTGCTCGCTGTCACCCTCGCTCGCCCCGACGCGACCAAGCCGCGCTTCCCGAGCGAGGTGCACGCGGCCGTCACCGCGGCCGTGGGCGATCGGGGCGCACGCTCTCCGGCGGCGGACGAAATCGCGAGCGGCGGCGGCGCGCGCTGCCCTGATGGCAGCGGCCGGGGCGACAAGCACGCGCTCGACGACGACGCGGAAGTGCTCTGCGCCGCGGTGGATCGGTTGGCGTCGTGGATCGGCAGGGCGGCGTCTCTGCGGGCGCACTTCGACTTCGGAGCGACATTCGTCCGCATGTGGCGCATTGCGAGCACCGCAGCCCAAACGCCGCCCAAGCGCGCGCCGATCGCAATGGAGACGCGCACCAGTCGCGAGCCCAGCGTAAGTACGACCGTCGATGGTCAGGTCGTGTGGCGCCGCCGCTTCAACGCCGTCTTCTACTTCATGGACCTGCAGACGGCGCAAACGGTGGTGCGAATCCTCATCTCCTCGGGCCACCTGCCAAAGGACGTGGCGAAGGAGGCGGGCAAAGCGGTGAAATGCGGCGACCGCATCCGAGTGACTGGCACACAGGACGCCGAGCAGTCGCTCTTGCGCGTGACCGCCATCACGGTGCTCAGCAGCTGGAGCGAGCTCAACCCGAGCACGCCATTCCAGCCGCAGCCACGCTCAAAGGCGCGCTCGTGCGACGTCGTCAGCACATCTGAGGCGCCTTTGAGCGTGGCTGCCAGCGAAGCGCCGCCTGCCGCCCCCTCGCTCGTGCGAACGGTCTGCAAATTCTTCGTCAACACCGGGCGCTGCGCCACGCGCGACTGCAGCTTCGCCCATGACGTGGCTGCTCGCGGCGAATGGGTCGCGGAGCGTCAGCGCGAGCGCCGCGCGGCCGCGCAGCTTGACAGCGAGCGGCTCGGCGACCCTCACGCAGCCGCAGTCAAGGGCGACAAGGGGCGGCGTGCGGCCATCTTCGCCGATTGGCTCGTAGCAACCTTTGGCGCGGAGGCACTGAACGAAGGCACTGGTGTGTGCGACGTGGCTGGTGGGAGAGGTGACCTCAGCTTCGAGCTGGCGTGCGCTCGCGGCGTGCGCTGCGTGCTGGTCGACCCGCGGCCCCAGCAGCCGCGCAAGCAACATTGGAAGCGACTCGCGCGCAGCGGCGGGCACGTTGCGCTGCCACGGCACGTGCAGTCGTGCGTGGGCCCCGAGTTTGGCGCGGTGAGCGCCGAGGAGCGTGAGGTGCTGCGCGCGAGCTCCGCCTTTGTGGGCATGCATCCGGACGAAGCGACCGAGTGGATCGTCGACACGGCGCTGCGCGAGCGGAGGCCGTTTGCGGTCGTGCCGTGCTGCGTCTTTGCGGACCTCTTCGCGCGGCGCACCGCCGACGGGCGCTCGGTGACGACCTACGAGGCGTTCCTTGCGTACCTCCTCGCCAAGGACTTGTCGATCCAACGCGACTGGCTCCCCTTTGAGGGGAGAAATTGCGTCCTGTACCGGCACGCCGACGAACCCGCGCCCGCGAAGCCGACGGGCGCTCCGATGTCGCTCGCGCAGTGCGAGGCCTGTGAGGACGATTTGGGCGGCGCGTGCGTCCCCGACGTCAGTGCGACCACGGACTGTGATCCCGTCTTTAACGTTTAAGGCAACGGGCCAAGGCTAGTGCCATGATCACTCTGACACGCTAATCTTGAAAACGTCTCCAACGGAGCTCCGTGTTGCTTCCAGCGCCCTCCCCCGCGCTCCCTGCGGCCATGGCCGATGATCCTAGTATGAGAGGTCATCTGGCTACCGCGAGAGCGACCCAACTCGTCGACATCGTCCGATGATGGTGCCTCAAAGTCAGCCTTCGGAGGCTATCGTGGGGTCGAGCCGGCAGTAGCCGTGACATGTGGTTCCACCACCCCTCGTAGGCTTTGCCTCTGACCGCCACCGTTCCCAGGCTGCCTAATGGGATGGAAAGAAAGGCTCGGCGAGCGTATAGAAGCGTTCTCGACCTCGTCGTGGCAACCTGCACGGCAGCGCTGGCAGGCGCGATGAGCGTCGTGCCACCTGACCCGAGACGGGTCGCAGGCGTCGTACCGAGCGCGTCGAGACCGTGTCATGATGTGATCTGCACGGGTGAGTCACGTCGGCGTCAAAGGAGCGACGTGTGACTTGTCAGAGCTTGATCTCCGATCTCAGCGGCGTCGAGTCGTCTCCGGCGCGCTACAAAGGTACATCCACAGGACGCGCAGAGGCAGCTGCGACCCCGCTGA